AGTAACCGAGGAGTGGATTGTGGTTTTTCATAAGTTAGTTGGTAAGTAATGAAAATGGTACTGTAATATTCACACACCAATAACTCAAGAACAGTATTATTTTATTCGTGAAAACTATTAGATAGTTTTTAAGTTATGAGGATTTCGAAAATGACTTGAAATATTAGTGTAAATATATACACTTCCGGCTTTTCTCTTTTGAACTTGGCTGACATATTGCTGTGAGCCTATATTAACAAACCACTTACTGTTTACTGCTTTATCTGTTAACAACTGAATTTACAGTAAATGAGCACTTAAAATTGTAAGTGACTACTTTATTAGCCTTTATATTTATTGGAAAAGACAAAAATTATATCTATCCAACTATCTACATTCTCAGACCAATAAAGAAAGATACACGGAGCGCTGCGTGTAGGTACTTCGAAATCATGCTCAACTTCTTGACACGCACTCACGCAAAACCTACTTCTTCTTCTGTCTAATAGCCTATAAAAGTCCACTGTTGGATGTACGCATATGCACCTAAACATATTATTGATTGCATGTGAATTTCGGTGCATATCTGTGTGTATTTGCGTGCTCTTACCAAAAGTTGAACATGGTTTTAGCTTTTATAAGGCTAATGTTAACAAAACAATGTGATCCCACTGAATAACGTTCAATTCACAGAGATGTAATTATTTGTCCTGTGATAGAGGCCTAGGATTTCTAGTATTGTCGCCAGACTCGACAACTAATATAATAACAATAATAATAAAAATGTATGTATACTTATCATTTTCATTTACACACACACACACATACATATGTATATATTTGCACACTTTACAACGTCCTTGAAAATGTTTACTTATTCTACACAGCAGTATTTCAGCTGACGCTTACAATAGAAAAACCTGAGCTGTAAACGTGAATTTTGTAAGTCACTTAGTATTTAAATGTAACGATGCTTAAACTATATATGGGGGGTATTTAAATAGTTGGGCTGTATAAATATATAATTGGAAATGATAAATATAATACATGAATATACATATATTAATATAGCGAAATAAATATATAAGCAATTAGTAAATAAATAAAACACCAACCAGTTGGAAGCTTCCGGCAGGGGTGACCAAACGGCCGAGGGTTAGGGGAAACCGGCGGACAATGCGGGCGGTATCGCAGAGCACGGGCTTCTGCATTTGAGCTTGGAGCGGTCTGTTACGGAGTCCCAGTCACGTCAGATGATCCGAGAAGTTGACTGGGATTAGTCTGTTCGCAGAAACTATTAATTTCGACGAATAATTTCGGTCGGCAGACACATGTCGGTCACCTCATGAGCGAGGTCCAAATATTTTGTTGGTTTATCTGTTCCGGCTTTCACGAGGTTCTCGTCATACGGAATGGTAATGTCGACCAAAAATATCCCTGACTGTGCCCGGTCCATCAGCACAATATCAGGCTTATTCGCAAGAATAGTTCCGTCTGTGTTGATGTCCCGGTCCCAGTAGAACCCGGCGCGGTCATTTTCGAGCACGGCTTCCGGCAAGCACTTGTAATAAAGCAATTTCCGGTCCACGAGACCGTATTTTTATTAACATACTTAAATATTATTATTGTTTAGGCGTTCCTTGCACTAAGTACTTCGTACAAAATTATTTACTGTCTTCTATTAACTAACTTCTTTTGTGTACTCACATAATTTATAAAACCATAAAAAAGTTATTTCATAAAACCAAACTAACCGAACGGAGGTCATAAAAGGTGCCTCCTACGCTCCAGCAACCGGAAGAGCGACACGAGGACAAACCGCCAAGAGCGTGCGTCCGGTAGATAATATAATATATTTATTACACGTTCGAACAAACCAGTAATTGATAGGATATTTTTGTGCATATAAAATCATATATCTTTACGTTTGTACACATCAATATTATTATTTTGGCGAACTTTCAGAAGCAAGGCATAAACTAATATCACAGATTTAAGACCATAATTTAATTCAAGAACATAGACGTTTTTAATATCATGTACTTATTCAATGCCTACTTATACGTACTCGTAGTATATACCTCACAGACGGAAGAGGAGGTCCTGTGACCAGTTGTGGGACGTCTATAGGCTATAGCTTTACTTTACTTTGCAGCGTATTTAAATTCTCTATGGACATAAGAAGTATATATTCAGTACATATATCATAACATACTTATATATTAATGAGGTTAAACGATTACTCTAAAATGTTTAAGGAAAATAATTACATTAATAAGTTTACTTAAACGCGGTAGAGCCACGCTGCAGTTATATTATGGTTGTAACACGAATGGTTGGCTCGATCGCTCTCACAGAATACGAGCGTAAAATAGCAGCATAATGCCGCTGTGTTTCGTATGGTGAGTGAAAACAACCGGAGACTTTTTTTTACTGGAAACGAGGCATTCCATCTAAGTCCTCAGTTGTGATAATGCATCTGCATTTTGATTCTTCGGCATCTACTTAGCATTAGGTGGCCTATGTGTTTGCTTGTTGCCCCAGTTCTGAGTGACAAGAGTAATAAGCTCCTCTCGTTTAAAGATTAAATGTATCAATTTAACGAGGAAACGGAACCATTATTAGGTACCCCACGAAAAGGGTTTTATGATAAACTGTTAAGTATAGTATACATAATAAACTCTTTGTTTAAAATTTTGTATGTTATCCCCTTATCTGTCACTCCCGTTGCGGGTATTTGACAACACGGATCGCTGGCGGTGCGATTTAAGGTCGATTTTCGACTAACAATGCCTTTGGTAAAGTAAAAAAATGGCTTTCAATAGGAATTACATGCATGTGATCTATATTGAATAAAAATATATTCTATTCTACTCAAATTTATCAAGAAATCACAGATTAAAAATTATTTGTTTTCTGACTTTGTCTATCAACAAGGCTTTCCATAAATATGAACAAGTTATGTCACTGGCAACACAGTGAATTGATTAAAAAGAAATCGATGTCCGCGGTGGTAGCGCCACAATAGATTGCTGCTCGCAAAGCAAACGAAGTATAGAAATTACATACCGTCCGTGCCTATGTTTATTGTTATGCTATGTGCCATCTACCATTGAAATTTATATTTTAACAATTAATTGAACTAGGCTTTTTCAATCGAAAATATTTTGACCAACCCTATTCTTAGTACTTCATTCTACACTTTATGGGTGGGACTGAAAAATAAACATTTTTTCACGTGTTGCTTATATATAAGAGCTTTTAATTTTCACACCACTCAAAAATCACTAAAGAAATTAAGTTTTCACCAATGCAATGATCAATGATTTACGACAACGAGAGAGTAAATTAATAAAAGTAACACAAACTTTATATAGTAAATGAACGCACGTTCAATAAAGATTATAATTTATCAAGTGGTAAAATTATTTTTTTTTAAAAACTTCAATATAAATAAAATGAGAACATCATCAATGTAGTGGAAGTCAATTGAATACGCATTATTAAGAATAACTCAAAAACTACTGGTCTGATCTTGATCAAATTCGAAAATAGAATCATCCAAATCGATTTATCTAGAAAAAAAGTTCTGAGGTAACACACGTAAAAAGTACAGTCGTTTTGAGAACCTCCTCCTTTTCTTGAAGTCAGTTGAAAAGTAGAAGCATTGTAGTTCAGTGTAAAAGCGTTCGCTCGCCTTTTATTTAGTACATGACCAAACAGCGTTTGATCTAACAAAATTGTTAATTGTAATTTTGAATTGCTATGTTGGTAGGAAGGAAAACTTCGTGATGAATCCGCATGTCTATGAATGTAGAATGTAGAAAGAGTAAGTCAACGCACTCTTCCTTGCCCTCAAACCATCTCAGTAATGAAAAGTCTACATCCATGGTAGAGCCATGCTGCAGCTATATTAATAGTATAGTCGTAGCACGAATGGGTCGGCTCGACCGGAGAAGGACCACGCTCTCACAGAATACCAGCGAAAAATAGCAACTTAACGCTGCTGTGTATGGTGAGTGTAGATAACCGGAGACCCTTTTTACTGGAAAAGAGACATTCTATCTTAGTCCTCACGGTTGACAACGTATCTGCATTTTAATCCGCAAACGAAGATAGATGTAGATATCTATGGGCCACAGCAACCACTTACCATCAGGTGGACTATGTGCTCGTTTGTCACCCTTATTCTATAAAAAAAAATCCAGCAGTAGAGCATATGTAAAAATTGTTTATTGTCAGGCTAAGTTTGCCCATTCCATAAAAGCTATTTAAAAACTAGCAGAGTAAACTAAAAACTTCGCAGTGTTGTTACGCGGGTGTCGACGCAATAACGACATTTAATTTGAGTAGTTATCATTACCTTCTCAAAGTTAAGTGGTGCAGGAAAGAGCCTGCTACACTGCTCTAATACATAATGGCAAACTTTTCATAATTAAAAGTAAATTCAAAAAGTCCATTTCTGGGCAGAACTTGCATTATTGAGTCCGTTTTAATGCAAGGAAGTGTCCACCGCACTGCCCCAATGCGTGTTAGCGGAGGTCACATGTCATTGAAATTGTTATTTCTGATATATGCGGGTTGACTTGGTGGTGAAGGAAATCGCGGTGATTACCTTCACCGCCGAGAACGTGCTAATTAAACATCAGCACTTAAAATGGCAATTAACAAGCACATTGCTGCCGGCGGGTATAAAATCCGGATTGCTCTGTAAAAGTTACTACGAGCGCTAAGAGGCCGCGCTAACACATCATATTGTTCCCAAATATTTATATAATATTCGAAATTTTAACCGACTTTAACCGAAAAAGGAGGAGGTGCTCAATGCGGATGTTTATATTTTTCATATAAACTTTCAGTTATTCTAATATCGAACATGTTAAAATACAAGTGAGCCGAAACCTGAAGTCACATATTACAAAAATTCAACAGGAGTGCCCTGCTCTAGAGCTTAACTACAGGTTGGTATTGCATATTTAAAAAAGACCTCGTGTATATTTCGAAAGTCTTTAATTACATACCAGCTTCAGCAGATCCGATTATAAATAGAACTAAAAAACACTTGAAAAACATTTTACACAAACAAAACATTATTACTGAAGGTAAAGCACTGTCTTACAAATTAGGAAAACCTACAGTTTTCGTACTGGCCTATGAAAAATAAATCACTAAATATAAAAAATCCTGTGACTTCAACATTTGAGACTAGAATGGTCACTGAGAACCGTACATTGAAATATGTTAAATACGCAAATTATGTATGTTGCTTTACAAAAAAGATTATACAGAACGCAGACACGAGACAAATACGAGTAGGTACAAAACAAAGATAATTTGCAAGTTAGAAGTTAGCTTAAAAAACTAAACTCTGAACAGTGTATTTTACATCGCCATTTGAATATAATTAAAAAAAACACTTAAAATTTTTATACAGTTAAATGAAATGTCCATTTCGTAAAGAAATACCACAAGAATTAATATAAATATTATATAAAATATATTATAATAAATAAAAATAATGTGGTTTTAAAATTTTGTATTTTGCTTAGTTGGAATACTTACTATATAAATGTTGGTTGTAATGTAGTAAGGGGCCATTCGTTAATTACGTCAGGTTTCTGAGGGGGATGGAGATTAAAAAATCTCGACATGTCCTTATCTTGGGGTTTTCTTCATTTTATAACGTACACTTCGATTTACATCTTATTTTAATTTGTTTATTAAAATTTAATATCTTATATATGTGTTCATTTTTATCCATTTTAAATGTTGTAAATAATGATTATAGTATATTCTTCCTGCGTCTTAATCTAATCTAAATAAAAATTATAGAATCTTACGTAAGAAGAGAGAGGTGGGGTTCAAGACATCTTATGTACCCTTACATGGGGTAGAGGGGGTCAAAAATTGACAAAATCTTCCTTATTTAATTAATGAATGGCCCCCTAAGTGGTAAGGATCTGATATCAATTTCTGTAAAACTTTCACAGGTTACCAGAAAAAATATACTTTTTAAATTTTTACGGTCAGTCATATTAAATATGACATAGGTATTTTACTTTAAGTATGAATCACAGAGAGACGTGATTGTTAGGCATTAAAGACCAAGTTGATACACATAACTTCTAATCTATGCTCCAAACGGGATGCAGTACCACAGCTATCAAAGGAAGCGGACTTTCCACCGATATTATGTATAATAGTATCACTACTCACTGTATTTTGGACAAACAGATTAGTACAAAACAGTGATCATATCTTATCAAAAACAACCCTTAGTTAAAACCAGTGATTCATAGATTGTAAATGGGTTCGGAGAAGTACATTGCGCTTTTTACTTCTAATTACTAATTTATCATTTATTTATCTTTGTTTAGATTATACAATTTCGAAGAATGCGATGTATGACATGCATCAGAGTCCTTTGAACTTCCCTGATGGTGTTATCGAACTAGTTTTTTTACATCGTGCAAAACATTCTTAATGCGTATTAAAATGTATACGTGCTTTACAATTTTAAACGGTTTTAAGTACATGTTGATTTATATTATACGTAGTAGAGCCACACTGCAGCTAAGTTATTGATGGAGTACGAATGGGTCGGACCGGGGAATGACCACATCGGCGTGAAATAGAAGCATGATACTGTGTTTTATTGCGTTTGTATGTGGTGAGTGTAGAGAACCGTAGACCCTTATTACTGGTGACGAGGCATTCCATCTTATTCTTCAAGGGTGACAACGCATTTGCGTTTTGGCACTTACAACGCAGTCGACGATAGATGTGTGTGTGATAGCCGTCAACATCGACTTATTACAATGTGAACTGTGTGCTCGTTTGTCTCCCCTACATCTATTAAAAATATGTCGATATTTTTTGTACTAATAGTATCTCTGTTTGTTTCGACACTTATGTAAGGTGAAACGGGTGTTAGCTTTAAGGTACTTTTAAAATTTTTATAGCAGCTAAGTGACCTTAGTTCGACACTATCCACTGAATTTTAGTATTAATTTACCACATCGGACACAGTGAAGAATCTAAAAAAAAGAATCTAAATGAAACCTGCAAGAATAGAATAGAATATTGATTTACTTGCATTGAATGTAGGTTTTAACAATAAGGTGTTGACAGAGTACATATAGGATCCGTACATTCTACCATTTCGGCATGCAAATATGAAATTAATTTTATTTCTACATAACACTAGTAATTTATTATAAATATATTTAAAATTATAATTATGAGTATAAATAATTATTACATTATTATAATACAAAGTATTCCATTATTATTATTACAAAAATTTATATTGTTGAAATTTTATTGCAGCTAGCATAACACATTATAAATTATTAATACAAACAACATATTATAAACAATTAATTAACTGAAACGTTATTTAAATATTGATATCATTTAAGAAGTCCGATACTGAGTAATAGCATCTTTCCAATAACAAAGAAGTAAGACTCTTTTTAAATATTCTAAAGGGTTGATTTTTTACAAAAATTGGGATTTTGTTATATACGACGTTTAACAGTGGTAGAGCCACTCGGCAGCTTTTGCTGTCGCACGGATGGGCCGGCTCGAACCGGGGTGGTACCACGACCTCACAGAAAACCAGCGTGAAGTACAGGTTTACCTCTGCGTTTCGCTTGGTGAGTGCAGGTGGCCGGAGGCCCTTTTTACTGGAAATAAGGCATTCCATCTTAGTCCTCACGGGTGACAACGCATCTACATTTTGATTTGTAATAGAAGGTAGATGTAGATGTCTATGGGCTGCAGCAACCATTTACCATCAGGTGGACTGTGTGCTCGTTTGTCACCCTTATCCTATAAAAAAAAAATACGACAGGTGCCATGCTCATATACTTTTTTTTAAATAAAGCTGTTTGAAAAACTGTAAGATTGTACTGCACCTACCAACACTGTAACACTGTACTATACCTGCAAGACTGTACTATGCAAGTAGCACAAATAGGTCTGTTCCCTATTGTCAGTGAAGAGAACAAGATACCATTTTTACTAGTAAGGAGACATTCCATCATAGTCCTCAAGGTGACTACGCATATACATGTAGATTCTTTATCGAAGATACTTATTGCCAACAGCATTCACTTACTATTTCGTGGACTGTTTTTTTTATAGTATAGGGAGCAAACGAGCATGCGGCTCACCTGATGGTAAGTGACTACCGCCGCCCATGAACAACTGCAACAGGAATTGCAGGTGCGTTGCCAGCCTTTTAGAAAGGAGTAAGCTCTTTTATTGAAGGTCCCTAAGTCGTATTGGTCCGGAAAAATCACCGGTGGCAAACGATTCCACAAAGAGGTTGTGCGAGGAAGAAAACTCGTAGTGAAACACACAGTGGTGGTCCGCCAAGCATCCAGATGGTGTGGATGGTATCGTGAGCTTTGTCGCTATGTGCGTTCGTGAAAGGAGAATGGGATTTTTGGGCCTGAAGTTAACTAATTGATTTATACTTTAAAAAATTGGCCATAAATTTCTTAAGTAAAATACAATGATGATGATGTAAGGTAATATGGACACAACATAAATTTTAGCCTTTCTGTAACACTTGGCCGTTCGGTCGTGTTACAGGATATCTTTACCTCCTAAAAGAGAGAACTAATAAATTCGGAAAAATAATAATAATTTATTAAACGCTCAGTTTGACAAATTACACTTATGTATTATATCTATTTTAAATTACAAAGTAACATTTTAAAGAAGTTAGCGTTGACGGCCATATCAGTATAAACTGTGTTACAGCCGTCAGCGTCTTCCACACTGAGTACTACAATATAAATAAAATATATATTTAATTTCGCTATACAATACACAAATATGTTAAAATAAATATGGAAAATAAAGAGTAAATTTTTCGATGTACTACAAATATATATCGATTAAAAAAATTTCTTCCTACCAATACTAAGATTTACTTGTCCAATCTTAATACATTGGATCGTCTACTTAACAACTGTATCAAATACACTTGTGGCGGCGCTGTCGTCGCGCCATAAGCGAAACATATCGAAGCCTAAATCGCGCTAACAAAGTTCCGAAGTTAAAGCAGTATATATAGAATAGCTCCGAACTACCACTCGGAGCGTTGGCCGCTCCTGGGGCAGAACACCTTGCCCGGCGGGAGATCTCCCCTTTTCCTTTCTACGGCCACACACTTATGGTCTCCGTAAATACGACCATGTATCTTCTTTTCTTGCTCAGCTAAATTGGCTGCCTATCCATCAGCGCAGATATGTCAGAATACCCTGCACCCTTTTCACAATTCTGTACGATCCATGTGCTCCCCGCGTATCTGAAATCCAAATTTCAATACCTGGGAGATTCTCATAATCGTTATCTCCGTTCTTCGGCTAATCTTAAGTTGCTTACTCCTTTACATTTATCTCAATCTTTCGCCCTCACGGCCATCAGACTCTAGAACGACATCACTCTTGACATTAAAAAAGCTTCCAACCAGTTTGTTTTTAAAAATCAAGTCCGTAAACATGTGAAAAAATTGTTGCAAGTTTGAACTAACACAGCTCTTATTTTCATACACATATTATGTATATTTCATATTTGTTCTGACATAGATAATATTTATATGTATTGTGTAGTGTATGCATGTATATGTGTATGTATATATTTATATATGTATATATTGTGTGTATTTAAGTATATATGTCTATGTATATGTGTGTATATGTATATTTATATGTATATATGTATATACAATATTTTTAGTGCTTACTATTTTGATTACTGCTGCACCGCCTCTTGTTTGTATATCTCTGTTTAGCCTAATGGTTGACTGGGAGAGAATGCCCTATGGCATTAAGACCGCCATATGTACAACTTTGTGCATGAAAGATTAAATAAATAAAATAAAAACCTGTGTGTGTGAAATTCACGCATAGCGCTGCAGGGGTCGCCTTGGTGTTACTCAGCTTGCCCCTGAGCAGTTTTTGTCTTGACCTCCCCCCCGCCCCCACCTGAATACGTGGGGCAGCCTGAGCACCCACATTCAGTAGTCGAGTAGCTTGGTCGTGGATGTTCATCGAGGA